GGTTAGAGACTGGCAGGTTGGTGTCTGACCTCAAGAGCTATCTCCTACCAGAAGCCCAGGATCTGCTCTTTGTACTTGTAGCTTTAGAAACTCAGATTCATCAATTCATCAAATGCTAAAGGCATGACTCCTGTCAACTAGAAGGGGCTAATAAAAACATAGCCCATTTACCTCTCAGGACAACTGAGACTAATGACCCACCCTGGGCACTCCCTATTTGAGGGCAAGTGACTGAAGGGTCTTAGAGCTGCAATTTGACTCTTTTTTTTTTTTTTTTTGAGACAGGGTTTCACTCCCATCATCCAGGCTGCAGTGCCTTGACTCACTGCAACCTCCATCTCCTGGGTTCAAGTGATTCTCCTGCCTCAGCCTCCCAAGTAGCTGAGACTACAGGTGTGCACCATTGTGCCTGGCTAATTTTTATATTTTTTTCGTAGAGACAGGGTTTCAGCATGTTAGCCAGGCTGGTCTCAAACTACTGGACTCAAGCCATCTGCCCACCTCAGCCTCCCAAAATGCCAGGATGACAGGTGTGAGCCACTGAGCTTGGCCATCTTTTGCATTTTTGATCACACACATAGTATTAATTTAATTTTTAAATTAAATGCTACAAGGCCCGGTGCAGCAGTCACACCTGTAATCCCAGCACTTTGGGAGGCTAAGGCAGACAGATCACTTTGAGTCTGGAGTTCGAGACCAGCCTGGGCAACCTGGCAGCAAAACCCCGTCTCTACAATAAACCCAAAAATTAGCTGGGTGTGGGGGCACATCTGTAGTCCCAGCTACTCTGGAGGCTGAGATGGGAGGATTGCTTGAGACCAGAAGGCAAAGGTTGCAGTGAGTCATTATCATGCCACTACACTCCAGCCTGAGTGACAGAGTAATACTCCAGATTGGGTGACAAAGTAATGCTGTCTCAAACAACAAAAACAAAATTAAATCTTAAAAAAAGCACCTTTGGCCATTTAATTAGTTTCATAAACTGTATTTTCCTATGCTTGGTTGCCAAAAATCAAATTACTCAATCAAAAGTATGTTCGGCTGCGCACAGTGGCTCACACTTGAGATCCCAGCACTTTGGGAGGCTAAGGCAGGTTGATCACTTGAGGCCAGGAGTTTGAGACCAGCCTGGCCAACATGGTGAAACACCATCTCTACTAAAAATACAAAAAATAAGTAAATAAGCTGGGCATGGCGGCACACGCCTATAATCCCAGCACTTTGGGAAGCGGCTGGATCACTCGAGGCCAAGGAGGTCAGGATCAGCCTGGCCGACATGGTGAAATCTAAAATCTCTACTAAAAATACAAAAAAAAAAAAATTAGCCAAGCGTGGTGACATGTGCCTGTAATCCCAGCTACTCAGGAGGCTGAGGCAGGAAAATTGCTTGAACCCAGGAAGCAGAGGCTGCAGTGAGCCAAGATTGCGCCAGTGCACTCCAACCTTGGCAACAGAGCAAGACTCTGTCTAAAAAAAAAAAAAAAAAAAAAACCTAAACCCATTTTTTTTTTTTTGAGACGGAGTTTCACTTTTTGTTACCCAGGCTGGAGTGCAATGGCGTGATCTCGGCTCACCGCAACCTCTGCCTCCTGGGCTCAGGCAATTCTCCTGCCTCAGCCTCCTGAGTAGCTGGGATTATAGGCACACGCCACCATGCCCAGCTAATTTTTTGTATTTTTGGTAGAGACGGGGTTTCACCTCGTTGACCAGGATGGTCTCGATCTCTTGACCTCGTGATCCACCCGCCTCGGCCTCCCAAAGTGCTGGGATTACAGGCTTGAGCCACCGCACCCGGCCCTAAACCAATTTTATAGCTCTTGGTACATCTGCTTAATCATTTCCAAAGACTTGTGCCAGTTTATGATGTCAGCAGCATTACAACAACGGCCTTAAATATTTTAAATTTAGTAACAGGTAAATGATTTTTAAATTAGCATTCCTTTTTATTACTTGTTAAGACGTACATTTTCCAAGGTTGGCTTCATTCTTTTGCTAATCCCCTCTACCCCGCCCCCCCTCTTTTTTTTTAAACAAAAAAAGAGACAACGTCATGCTACAATGGCCCAGGCTGGTCTCAAACTCATAAGCTCCAGCATTCCTCCTGCCTCAGCCTCCCAAAGTGCTAAGATTACAGGCATGAGCCACCCCATCCCCTACCCCCATTTTTAAGGCAAAATAATGTTTACCAGGTAATTTTTTCCTAACTTATAAAAAACTCTGAAAAGAGCAGTGAGAAGCACTCTGTCTTTGTTCTCCCCAGAGACAACGTATCTTATTTATCCCCCTAGAAAGTTAAGTGTAAGCACACATCAGAACGAGTACACATACCTTTTTTTTTTCCACAAATATTATGCCTACATGGATTGTTCTGCAGCTTGCATTTTTCAATTTATATTTCTTAGTAGTCTTTCCATTATCAGTACATATAGCTCTCACCACATTTTTGAAATGAATCATAATGTATTCAACTAAACACTTAGGACATTTTAGCTCTTTTCAAATTTGTGCTATCACAAACAGTGCTGCAATGAATGTTCGTATACATATTTCTCTATACTGGTATGTACTCCTTCCACAAAAGTGAACAAAGACCAAAATAACCTGTAAACGTCTATATATGATTATGTGAACATGGAAAAAAGTATGGAAGGCTAGCTACATAAATATTTAGCATGGGTTGCAGAGAAAGGCCATGGGTGAAGGCCTGGGGGGGTGGTGGGGGGGAGTCAAGAAAAAGTAAGACTGAATTACAATTACTGAATTACATGTATGACATAATCACATTTATACAATTATATATATGGGAGTACAGGTATAAAGAAATTGAAAAAATGGCTTTAAAAGAAAAAGTCTCAGTAATGGAACTGCTGCTTCAAAGGACATGGGCATTTAAAATGTGATACTGCCATACTGCCCTACAAAAAGGTTGTACCAAATATATACTCCCACAAAGAGTGTAGGAGCTTTTCTGTTTTCCCACAAATTTGCCAACACTGAGAATCATCAAACTTCTTGCAAATTTATTGAAATCTCATTTTAAAATTTATCATTTCTTTATTTTTCCAAGCGGGAGAACAAGAAAATAAGATTTATCATTTATTTAATGAGAAGCAATATAATTAAAATTATTTATTTAATGAGAAGCAATATAATTAAAAGCTGATTTTTTTTTTTTTTTTTTTTTGAGATGGAGTGTCCCTCTGTCACCCAGGCTATAGTACAATGGCACAATCTTGGTTCACTGCAACTTCCACCTCCCGGGTTCAAGAAATTCTCTGCCTCAGTCTCCTAAGTAGCTGGGATTATAGGCAACCCCCCACCACGCCCAATTAATTTTTGTAATTTTAGTAGAGATGGGGTTTCGCCATTTTGGCCAGGTTGGTCTTGAACTCCTGACCCCGCGATCCACCCGCCTCAGCTGCCCAAAGTTCTGGGATTACAGGTTTCAGCCCCCCACTGCCCACCCCATATATTTTTAGTAGAGACCAGGTTTCACTGTGTAGCCCGGATGGTCTCAGTCTCGATCTCCTGACCTCGTGATCTGCCTGCCTCGGCCTCCCAAAGTGCTGGGATTACAGGTGCGAGCCACCGCACCCGGCTTTTTTTTTTTTTTTTTTTTTTCTGGAGACAGGGTCTCCAGTTGGGTTGCCAAGGCTGGAATGCAGTGGTACGCTCTTGGCTCACTGCAGCTTCCCACCTTGGCCTCCCGAGTAGCTGGAACTACAGGTGTGGCCGCCATGCCCAGCTCATAATTACTTTTTGTAGAGGCAGAGTTTCACTATGTTGCCCAGGCTGGTCTCAAACTCCTGGACTCAAGCGATCCACCCGCCTCTGCCTTCCAAAGTGCTGGGATTACGGGCCTGAGCCATCGTGCCGGGGCAAAGCTTAATAAATTTTAATGTCTGAAGGCCATTTGTATTTCGTTTCCCTGAGAGCTCCCTTCTAATATTCTTCGTCATGTTCCATGTGTTTGTTCACCTTTTTCTAAATCGCTGATTTATAAAAGCCCTTTGTTAAACCGCCCTTTATATATGTAATACAAATATTTTTCCAGTTTATTCTCCATATTTATATTTTGTTTGATCTCAAACTTAGACCTTTTACTCCAAAACTATTGGAAACAAAATCCATCTATGTTCTCTAACATTTTAATGGTTTCATTTTTTATTTTAAAATATTTGATCCATGTGAAATTTATATTGGCATAAGAACTAATAAGGCAAAAACTCAAGTCTTATTTTTTCCAAATGGTTTGCCAATTATCCTCAAATGGTTTGTTGACCAATCCATATTTTCCCCATTGATTTGAAATGTTGTTTTTCTTTAGTAAATTTTCATATGTACTTAGGTCTATCTCCAGACTTTCTGTTGATTTGTACCTTCTCCCATATTACACTCTTACACGCGTATCTGTGAGGGAGGAAAACAGGGTAGTGTTCCAGAAGAGAAAAAACTTAGGCAGTTATCTTAAAATAGCTCCTGATCACGCCACTGCACTCCAACCTGGGCGACAGAGCAGACCCTGTCTCACACATACACACACAAATACCTCACGTTGGAAGCTCTCTGAACCTTTCGTGGTTCAGGGTGCATCTCGATAAAAAAATTAAAAACAAACAAAAACACTGTGTGTTATCATGGAGAGGAAAAACAATTTGTGTACCTCTAGAGGGCAGCACTACCGATACTGGCGTGGAACTACAGATTTGAATTGCACCAGAATGAAGAACTTTCTAGAAACCACATATATTCAACGATGCACTGTTGCCTCAGATGTCATCATTTCCTGGCCACTAACAGAGAAGTTATATAGCGGATTCATGAATTTCATAGGAGGCTGGACTCCCAGATTGTAAAATCCTTCTTTACAATTCTCATTTTATGATAAACCAAGTTATATGTTCCACAGACACTAAAGGAAATAAACATACTTCTCAAGAAGGCTGTTTTGCCAATTCGGTAAGACTAAACTAAAAGAAAACAGAACTTTCCAATCTCACCAATCCTCGTCCTCCACCGGGTCTTGCAAGCAGCACAGCTCTTCTTTATGCCAGTCCATGTCTGTAGGGCAGACAAAGATATACTTTAAGCCAGAACTCAAAACCAGAGACATCTCTATACTCTACAGTTATCTTTGGGCGTCTTCCCTACCCTAATTTAAAGCCGAAACTTTGCTCTGCAAAATAGTAAGTATTTAAATTTGTTTTGTTGCAAACCTTTCCCACTCAGGCCTTAACCACTCCAATCCCTTCCCACCCCCCTCCAATCCCACCTCAACTTGGCAGCCTGGCTTCCACGTATCAGGCCTTGACCACCCCCACATCCCACTGGCCCTCTACCTCCCTACCCCTTCAGTCTCCTTACTCCCGCCCCAAGTAAGTCTGCCACCTACCAGGTATCAACCTCTCCCGCCTTCCCCCACCTCCTTACTCCCCACTCTGTCAGTCTTACCCAGACCAGGCTACCACCACCCTCTCACCCTCCTATCCAACCTCCACCGCCCCCTCACCCTCCTAGCCAACCTCCACCGCCCTCTTACTCCTACTACTCTGGCTTCTCACTGGTCTTACAAGAACCCAGCCAGGCCTTCCCCACTCCCTATTCCTGCCTCCGGCCAATCTTCCACCAATCAGGCCTTGGCCCCTCCCCGACTCCCTCCTCCTCCTATCAGGTCTGGACCCTACCCCCACCACGCTCATCCAGTCTTCCACCAATCAGGCCTCAACTCCACCACCCTTCCCCCACACTTGCACCTCCAACCACCTCCGGCCATCTTCACGGCTTCCAACCAGTCTTCCAAGCAGGCTTCGATGCCCTCCACACCTGTATCCAAATTCTGGTCTCCCACCACCACTCAGACCTCGACCCCCGCCACATACAGCCCTACCCACAACCCCCTGGCTCCCCCAACCCACATGGCTGCCACTGCCCCCTCCACCTCCCCCAACACCACCACTGGCACCCATACCTCCCCAAACACCACCACTGGCACCCCCAATGCTGCCACCGGGTCCCCACTTCTCCCCACGCCCACCAGCAACACCACGTGCTCCTACAACACTGCTCCCGCCACTGCCTCCGCCGCCACGCCAAGTTGCTGCTGCCGCTGCCACCCCGTATTGCTGCGCCCTTTTGCCGCTGCATCACTTCTTCCTCCGCCACAACATGGCCGCTTCACTACGTGCTCCTATTCCACTTCCACCGCTACCATGTGCTCCTGTGCCGCTACCAACACCACGACATACTCTTACACAGCCACTGGAACCCCAACTTCCCCCAATGCGGCCGCCGGCACCCCCACTTCTCCCCCACACCGCCACTAGGGCTGCCAAACCTTCTCCTAAGCCACCAGTACCACCACCTCCCCCAATGGCGCCCCCTCCACTTCTCCCCAGGACGCCATTGCTGCCACATGCTCCCATGCCTTTATCAGCTCCACCACCTCCCCCAATGCCGCCAGTGGCGCCCCCCCACTTCTCCCGGTGCCACCATTGCAGCCACCACGTGCTCCCATGCTGCCATTAGCACCTCCACCTCCAATGCCGCCACCGGCAACCCCATTTCTCATGCCGCCATTATTGCTACCACGTGCTCCTACACCACCACCCCCACTTCCCCCAACACTGATACCAGTGCCCCCACTTCTTCCCATGCCGCCACTGGGGCCCCCACTTCTCCCCATCCACCACCGGCACCCCCACTTCTCCCAACACTGCCACTGGTGTCACCATGTGCTCCTGCACCACCAGCAGCGTCCCCACCTCCCCCAATGCTGTCATTAGCACCCCCACTTCTCCCAATGCCGCCACTAGCGCCTCCACTTCTCCCCACGCTGCCTGCCACTTCCCCTACTCCCACCTCATTCCACCACATCTTCCACTGCTCAGTCCTACCCTCTCCACACCTGCTCCCACCCACCGCTAGGGCCTAGCCCAGGCGTCCCCAAACGTTTTACACAGGGGACCAGTTCACTGTCCCTCAGACCGTTGGAGGGCCGCCACATACTGTGCTCCTCTCACTGACCACCAATGAAAGAGGTGCCCCTTCCTGAAGTGCGGCGGGGGGCTGGATAAATGGCCTCAGGGGGCCGCATGCGGCCCGCGGGCCGTAGTTTGGAGACGCCTGGCCTAGACTATCCGCCCAACCTCAGCTCCCCTGCGTCACCTCCACTCGCACACCAAGACAGCCCCACCAAGGTCTCTGCCTCCGCCATTCCGCATTGTCTCCGAAACAGTTAAGTCACTATAAATTTAACAGAAATAAATATAAACAGAATAAATTTCTTCCAAAGGCCTTTGTATACGGAAACAGGCACATTTCTTTTGGTTCACAGGCCAAATATCAAGGTCCACGGACAGTCACAGTCCAAGGAATACAGTGGTCCTGTGGTACTAATTAAATTGCTCAATCAGGACTAGCTTCTGGACCACTTCAGCACCCATCTCAGTCCGACCAGTCAGTCACGTACCAGCTGTTGCAGCCTCTAGCGTGGGCCGGCACAACTCACCTCCAGCTGTCCGTGGGGCGCGTGCAGAGATCCCGAGCAACTGCGACGAATGCGAGGCGCAGGCCCTTTTATAGTCCCCAGATCTAGGGGGCGGTAAGAACTGACGTGTACCGGCCCGCGCTCCCCCGCTCCCCCGTACCCACCTATCACAGTGTGGTCACGAGGCAAATTTCAACTTTGCAATTTGGCGCCTAGCCGTAACGCTTCCAGCATCAGGTCTATCACTTCCCCCCCTCACGATGTTGCTTATTTGTCCCGAAGCGCCATTTTGATAGAGTTTGGGCACCCGGGGCAATTCTGTGATTAAAAGTCCCTAATAACTTTCTGAGTGATGGGGAGAAACGATGTCAAATCCTTCCTAACCAAGTTTCATCCTGCGAGAACTTGAATAAGCGAGCCTTGTCCCCTGCTTGAATTATCCAGACCTCTAAGTCCGTTATTCCAAGCACAGGGTGGGGCGTGGAGGGGCGGGGAGCGGGGTGCGGGTGGGAAGGGCGAAGCGCGCGGGAGCCAGGTCGAGCGTTGCGGGGAAGGCATAGACCCCTAGATAAGACCAAGGCAGCAACTCAACAGCGCCTGGCAACGGTGAACTGTTTACTTCCAGAACCCTCTGAACCCTGGAGATAGAAAAGGGTTGGTTACTTGAGACTTTTTGGCACTCCATACACACCAAGAAAAACAAATGGGGGAAGCAGCGCTTTCTAGATTATACCAGTTTCTCCAGCGAACATCCATACATTTCATAATGTAACCCTTTGGCTAACAGAATACAAAGAAAATGTGCCTGCATTTGGTATTATTTTGTGCTAGGTGTTGTTCCAAGTGTTTTATTATTTAATTCTTACATTTTAAAAAGTAGGCAATTGTTAGCGCTCTCATTTTACTGAGATCACACAGCTAGAAAGTGGCAGAGGTGGCAGGGCACGGTGGCTCACGCCTGTAATCCCAGCCCTTTGGGAGGCCAAGGTGGGCAGATCACGAGGTCAGGAGTTAAAGACCAGCCTGACCAACATGGAGAAACTCCGTCTCTACTAAAGATACAAAACATTAGCCGGGCATGGTGGTGCGCACCTGTAATCTCGCTACTCAAGAGGCTAATGCAGGAGAATAGCTTGGACCCAGGAGGCGAAGGTCGCAGTGAGCCGAGATCGCACCATTGCACTCCAGCCTGGGCGACACAGCAAAACTGTCTCAAAAAAAAAAAAGAAAGAAAAACGTGGCAGAGCTGAGATTCAAACTCCAACTCTAGTTCCAAAGCTTGCTCTTAAGCACTGGATTGCCTACCTAAATACAGTCACTTTCTCAGTTGATAGGGGATTGGATAAAGGGGGCTTATTACTCTCTTTACAATACAGTTGCAAACTAACCTCTATAAACCTCTTTATAAAAATGGGGATTACATAAGTGTGCCTCAGAGGTTTGGGCAAAGAACCAAAATGTTAGCTATAATTGAGAGGCATATTCGTCAAGTAAAAGAGTGAGTTAGGATTAGAATCAAATCTTAAAACGGGCAGTTCAGAAATTACACACATTTACTCCAGGTGTGCAAGCAGCAACTCCTTTAGACTGAAGGCAGGAGGAGCTAAAGTAGACTGGAAATAATGCAGATTCTTCAACAGAAGCGGACAGGAGTAAAAACTTTTGAGTAGGCTACTGGACACCTTTCTTCCCATAATAATCTTTTAGGAAACAAACACCAATCCACATTAGGGCTTTAACGGTACAACCAACGGAAGTTGGTGGGAATTATGCAAAATGCTACCGAAAAACATCTGCCCTCTCACTTATAACTCTGAGAAAACTGGCAGTGTGTTCTGACCCCTCATGCACTGATATCTTCCTCCTTCATGCTCGTGGCAGAGTTTGACCACTATACACAGCAAGTAGGAAAATAATTTTGCCCCCAAAGAGCCAAGAAAATAACGGTCCACATAAAGAGTGAAACAACAAGTGTAAATAAAAGCAGAGAGGTCATAAGCAAAAGAGGAACAAGCATGAATGGGTGTGTTGGGGATCACAGCCTTTCTCTTTTCCTTTTTTGAGATGAAATCTTGCTCTGTTGCCTAGGCTGGAGTGCAGTGGCACAATCTCGGCTCACTGCAACCTTCGCCTCCTGGGTTTCAAGTGGTTCTTCTGTCTCAGCCTCCTAAGTAGCTAGAATTACAAGCATGCACCACCACACCCAGCTAATTTTTTATATTTTCGGTAGAGACGGGGTTTCACCATGTTAGCCAGGCTGATCTTGAACTCCTGACCTCAAGTGATCCACCTGCCTTGGCCTCCCAAAGTGCTGGGGTTACAGGCCTGAGCCACCATACCTGGCTGCTTTGTCTTCTTAATGGATCATAAACTAACCCCACCCTCCACCAGACCTGGCTGAGAAAACAATTCCTAGTATCATAGCTAAAGAAGGGAAATTTGGCCCTTTAATGCTTTTTGGAGCTGTTCAAATACAGGTTTCACCACTGGATGACCCTATTCTTCAGTAACACTCAATATAACAGGAGACAAAATACATCAGCCATATTAAGGGGAAATCATTCATTTATTGT